GAATGACAGCTTAATATTATTTATTATATTATTTAACTCTGATGACATAACTTGAAATATGCTTTATTAAATATGAAATTCATAAGTTTCGGAGCTAAATTACATTAGTTTGTTATGGTATTTTAGGTATTTAATCATAAATTATAATCATGATCTTAAGAGAAGTAAAGTCAAGTTTTGTAGATAAAGGCATTTAGCCCAAAATACTTACACAAATGTAATACAAAGATATCATAGTCAATATATGGTTTAACATTTGTAACATTAAAACGGTACTTGTAGTTATGAAATATATATTAAAACGTTTGATCAGATAAGGCGCTAAAAATGACATTCTTTTTTTCAAATTCAAAATGTCTGTTTTTTCTCTCTCTGGATTAAGTCATCATTTTATACAGTAATTCATATATCGAAGCTTAATTGTTTTACGTTTTGCACAGTTTTAGACATTATCACAATTTGAGACTGTATACATGTATCTGAAACTTTACAAGAAAGTGTTATCAACTGTTAAGAATAGTTAATCATGGTGAACTTTGGCTGTTTTACGTTCGATTACGAAGTTGTGCTAATTTTCCCCACAATCCTATAATAAACGTTAAACGTTTTAAATATCTGTCATTCAGGCTATAAATTCTATATGACAATGCATAGATGCCAATTGACATAGCTTTATTTAGCTTCTAACAGTGTCGTTATTTCGCCATTTGAAGATTTTATTAGTAGTTCAAAATGCGAGGATTGTCCGTTAACTTTTGAAACAGTGGTAATGTCTCATAAAGTGTTGAAAAACAACCAATAAAAGATATACATGTATAGCCGTGAATAGAGACTTGAGATAAAATTTCTTACTGAAAATGTCATTCTTTAAAAATATACTGTAAAAGAAAACTGTTGCCAAGTCTACCCGTGTAGAGATTTACGGAACACCTTGAATAACTTAATAATTAATGAATAGGTAACCTTAATACTTGGACCAGACCTTCTGAAAGGTTTAATTGCCCTTGACAATTAAGTGAACTCAACCATCAATGTCAAATTATTGAATTTTGGTTAAATTGTCATAATTTTGTTATTTTTGTACAGATTTTGATTAATACTCAGACAAAACAAGACTTGTTACCAAACAAACATATTGCATAATTTAAATGATACCTTGACCTTTAAATGACCTTGGGCATTATCTTATAATTGACTTTAGTTATGACATTTGGGCTTTGTGCACACTTTAACATGTAAAATTGAACTTGGATATCAGCTGACCTAGATTTTGACGAAATGACCTACTTTTGAACTTTGATATCAGCGGACATACTTAATTTGAGCTACTATATTGTTTATGAATGCACAGTTTTTTATCTAAAATTGAGCTTTGATAAAAACTGACCAAGATGATTTGACGAAGTGACCTACTTTATCTTCCTTTGATGTACAGCTATTTAATTTGTACCATGTGCACAGTTTCAGATTGACCATTGAACATTATTGTTATGATTCATACTACAACCAAACAACAAATGTGACTAGACCTACCTACTGAATTTTTAAAAAAGGAAAACCGACCGACGGTGGCTCTTATAATATGTACGGCGGTCGTAAACCATTTGATCATAATTGAATTATATTGTTTGCCCTACGATATTGAATAATCATGGTAACGTGCTCCCGGCGCAGCGCATCAAAAGAGTTTTTTAATGTTAGTTGTTCTTTATAAAGCGACATCATAAAGCATCACCCATCGGTATTTTCTTATAATGAATTATTTTCCCAAGTCACTGAAGCAGCAGGTGAATCTTGCATCAGATGAAATGTGTCTGCGAGTGCAAAATAAACCAATTAATCTAAATATGTCAAATTTGTTCGATGCCTAACATAGATTTTACTGCTTTCTCGGGTTTTACAAATATGAAATTAATAGAAAAAAACGATATTTCGACGCTTAGATTAAATGAATACGGATAAAATGTAGGGAGCGAATAGTGCGAGTATTAGGACTCGTACATAAATGACCGGTGATCTCTTGGATAGTACTTTATGTCTTTTAATTTTACCGTTCGTGGCACTTTACAATAGTTATTTAAGCCTCTCTGCGAAATGTAAAGAAATACCAATAACGATTGACAACATAACGATTTTCCCGGCGTGGTAAGGGTCAACCGCATTTCAACATTCCTTGCACAAAAATTGTAAATATAGAATAGAGTTGTAGGTTTTTGTTCTGTAAGACAGCTGTATTAAGTTGACTGCCAACCCTGTGGCACTAGAACATACACCCCTTTTTACAAACTAAAATAATCAACCTATCATGCATTAGAGATAGTGTAAGGGATTTATCTATCCAGCAACTATCGTGTTAAAACTTATTTCGTGTAGTTCAAAGATGTTTATTTCACCACTTTAAAGGCGTATTTACAAATAAATGTCTAAATCAAATTGTATGCGTATTTTCTTATATTAACTTTTAATTACTGCGGATGGTAATATATTATGCCCATGCGACCATTGCAGACCAACTGAGACCAGTATGTTCCAGGGAACTGGTATTTCGCTTTAATCTTTGTTTATGGTTTTTCATTGTACACTATTTAGTCAGGGTATATTTTTAGAATATGATAAATGATTTTGCAGGATGGGTATGTCCATTGAAGATATTTAATGCAATAAGGGTTAAAACCAAAGAAAATTTATATGTTATAATTGGAAAATATGTATTTCGTCTATTTTAATCAAGTTTATTTATGCATCCACACCCACTCAAAGAAATGACGGTCTATTTACATTAACCTTATAACGTGCTGCATATATCATTTAGTTTGTAACAAACAGTTACCATATTTGCTTCACTCATAAATATTAATGACCTTTAATTCTTACCAAGATGAAGTGTTACCAGATCATTGCAGTAACATTTCCTCATATGAATTTCTATTAAATTTTTATATTACGTATTCTTATAAGAACCAAATAGGGACAAATTCTTCCTCAGTCTGATAATAGTTTTCAGCTTATACATTTATTTCCAGTTGCCATAAAACAAAGCACAAAGAATTCAGAAATATAATCATAATATTTCAGTAGTTTTAGTACCACTCCCATTTCATTTCATAGGACACCTTTTGCAAGCTATCGGCATTTTTTTTTAATTCAATTTATTACATACAAGTTCCTGGAATTAAAACCTTATTGTGAAAAAGAACTTTGGTGCTTGAGGGGAATTAAAAGGAACATCTTGATTATTGGGAGATGACAAAATGTTTTAAAATAAGGATCAAAATTAATGTTAGTATACATTCTTTTATTTAGCAACTGTCTGCAATTTCGGAGAAATGATAGAATGAGTAAGTTATGAAAAAGGGCAGTTAACAAATTACATACATAATGTGATTCTTGTTGAAATGTCATATTTGTTTAATTATCCTTTTAGAAGCAATGCAGTCCTTTAAAAATAGATTGTAATTTCAATCTCACCACATGAACTACACATTATCATAATACAATAACCAACCATTTAAGCTTGCTAGTGGCAACTTATTTTATACCCATGCAAATAATGCAGCCTGATAAAGGAACATTTTCATGCTGAATTTGAGCATAAGAAAAAAGGAATGACTTTAATCTACATGTGGTATTTGAAAGTATGTAGAGTTTTTAAACACAAAAGTTTGGAAGTATGTGGACCGTATCTATAATGAATCAATTTGTGGAAGTTTAACTGTCTTCCATACAGTGGTACATCACGGAGTATTTATGGCATGAAGTAGTTAAATTATATATTTGACAACCATAGAAAGAAATTATCACGAAGACCATTTACAAGTTTCATGTTTAAGTTAGCACATGCTTATAAACTAATATCATTTTATATAAAATTGTTATACAAAAATGAATACATTGTAACTTCAACATGTCTTTCCAGATTACAGGAAAACATTTCTAAAATAACTTTAAGCCCACACTTGTGTATGATGCCTAAAACTAGTAAACAATATAACACAGAACTAAATCTAAAGTTTACTCTAGTGCAGAAGTATTAACAATAACATTTCATTTATTTGTTTGCTGTAAGCTCCAGAAATTGCACTTAAAGTAATCTCTAAAACTACAAGACAGGGCCAAACCATATAAACAACACAAGTATACATGTGTATTATAAAAATGTATCACAGTTAGATCAAATCAATGCTGTTTGTTAACAATGTAAAATAGTAACACACAAATATCCTAGCAGGTATGATGTCATTCATCGTATGTAGTTGGATAAAAATGCATTATGCTGGTGCTTTCAATTATATTATTATGTACACTAATTAATGTTTCAGATCATAGAACAAATATTGTTTAAAATTATACAAAAACATCCAATAAATAAAATAATAAGTAAATAAAGTTTAGCTTATTTTCAATTTTAAATTTCTTCAATAAAAGGTTAATAATTGATTGTATGTATACAATAATATCTAGTTATTTTATTAAACCAAAGTGAAATGCTCAACAAATCAAACAATATTGTATATATAAGCTCAGACAAAGCATTACATATCATGATGATGTATGTACTGTACATTTATAAACAAACAAATATACACGTTTGTACAATAATCTATCGGCTATAAATAGACAACTACAATAGAGGTAGGAAATTATTATTTACAAGAAAACATAACAAGAGCTGTCAACAAACTTTGGCCCTTCTATGTTCTTAAATCAATTGTATATTTCAGTTAACTACGAAGTCTTTATGAGTATTCTTAAGATCATAAGCGGAAGAAAGTAAACGACAATCCAACTTAGTTAAATATCTAAATATCAACCTCTATATTCTACCAATGTATTTCAGTTTTAATAATATTAAATCAATATATTCATCTTGGTTTTACCAGTACTTAATATTTTTGTTGTATATGTAATCGGCTTATAAGTTGTTTATCATGTAGATAAAGCTAAACAGCTTTAAGAGTCATTACCCTGCGACAAAGTTTAAGTAGACAAAAAACAAATTATTATTTACAAGAAAACATAACAAGAGCTGTCAACAAACTTTGGCCCTTGTATGTTCTTAAACCAACCGTATATTTCAGTTAACTACGAAGTCTTTATAAGTATACTTAAGATCTTAAGCAGAAGAAAGTAAACTACAATCCAACTTAGTTAAATATCAACCTCTATATTCTACTAATGTATTTCAGTTTTAATAATATTAAATCAATATATTCAGCTTGGTTTTACCAGTACTTAATATTTTTGCTGTATATGTAATCGGCTTATATATAAGTTGTTTATCATGTAGATAAAGCTAAAGAGCTTTAAGAGTCATAACCCTGCGACACAGTTTAAGTAGACAAAAAACAACAACATTGATGCTTAGATATTCTAGTCACAATTACCCCTGTTAGTTTCCTCAAGGCACAGTTAGGTGTTTTCCCCCAGATCATGTGTGGAAGTAGATATATGGATAAGACATATATATAGCAATCACTAACACCCATGAGGTTATATAACAGACAACACGTACTGTATTGACAATCACACCAAAAGGTTTGAACTCCGGAAATGTGACCAGACTACAAGAACAGACTAAGGCAAGACTCACATTATGTTCACAATATATCCAGCTTCTGGTACTATATCTAATAACTATATTTCATTGTAAGTGGTGATCAGAGGAATGATTTCTACATGATTCACATATTCTGGGTAATATAAATGCAAGCTTCTATATGACAAAGATCTGGCATCAATTTGATTTGTTTAAGTTAAACCTAAGCAAGGCGCACTATCATTTTTGTGTTTTACGGTATTTTTTCTCATTTTCTTTTACTTTTTTCAACTTTTTTCCCTGTGTTTCATCAGATCTGCCATCTCTGGAAACAAAATGTTTATCATCTTGAATAACAAAAATGGGTTAATGTCTTATTGGTTTTGAAAAAATAATTAAATTAACTTGCTACTGTAATGCAATTGGTGCTGATGTCAATATTTCACAGTAAAATGAACAAAGTCAATCTAGTTCTTATTGTATTAAATTCAACATAGAAATTGTGAATTCTGTGTAAAATAGATATATTTTAACAACTCTGCACACATATAAGAAGCTTCAATGGCCACTTTTTCATAACTATTACCTTTATTTTCTTTTTGTAGATTATCTCCCATACGTGTAAGGCTGATGATCTTCTCCTCCAGATGCTTGCAGAGAAGTTGTGTATCTGGTATTGATTTACTTGGTGGGGATGGATTCTCTGCAAGTATATAGGATTTATAAACTGAACTTGAAAATTTGTTTCTCATTAAAACAAGAGCCGGTTGAACCGGGTGATTCTCCCCGAATAGGTTTTGGACACAGGAAGGTATACCTCTTGTTGTGTCAGAGTTATGCCACAGACAAAGTTCAAAGTGTAAAAACAACCCAAATATTGCGCACAACACACATCGTCTCAATATGGTGATCATTTCTGTGAAATATTTTTAAAATCCAATTTCAAATAATGAAGTGATGGACCGGACACGATTTTGCTGCAAGGTCATGCTGTGACCTTGACCTTCAAGGTAGCGACCCAAATGTTGCGCGCGACACATCGTCTCAATATGGTGATCATTTCTGTGAAATAGTTTTAAAATCCGACTTCAAATAACAAAGTTATGGGCCGGACACGAATTCGGGACGTACGTACGGACGGACGGACTGACGGACGGACGGACAACCCGACGACTATATGCTCCCCCAAAATTTTTCGGGGAGCATAAAATTTTTCGGGGAGCATAAAAAAAAGAATTTTGTTTTCATTGCATGCCAACATAACTGTCATATCCAAAGACTGATTATAATTCTTATGGACATGGTTAGGCTACCTTATAACAATATGAAATACTGGCTCCTCTGAGTTCTGAAATCAGCATGAATATTTTTTATTAAAATAATGATATTATCCAAGTTATTTGGTAAATGTTATATGAATAAATTAACTTGATGTTGAAATGTGTACTGCCTGCAATATATACAATTGAGAAAAAACAAATATTTAATACTAATGTCAATGCTCTGCTGCCTGAAATAAACTGGTACCTCCCTGGAAATCCCTATAATCTATTTTACTTGCAGTCAAATATTTTACACTTACTTAACACGTTGATATTTGATAAAAGAATTTTATACAATACTTTTTTATCTTGACACATTCCATAAAGATAAATAGAAACCCTAACACATGAATGTTAAGGAAAACTGTACAATTACACAAGGTCATAACCTTAGTGATTAGTTTATACATAATTTATCTTAGTTAAATTGTGTAGCAAGCTATAACCTTTTAGAAACACACTCTAATGTGTTTCTGAAACAAAACAGTCAGAGTAATGAGTGATGAGTTTCTTGGTCAAAGACACAAAGCTTGCCACTTACAGGGGTTGAACACATGCAATAGATTAAGCACTCTGCCATGCTGCAATATCAACCAAGGTGATTAATGTTTGCTAGAAGAGCTGTGATACATTTTAAATTTATATATCTTTTTAACCAAGAACTGATATATCTTTTTAATCAAGAACTGTAACTATTTTCATAGAAAATAGCAATATCAAACATCAAAGTAACTATATAGTCTTAAAATTTGTTTGATTTTCCAGAAAATATGTTTTTGATTAATTCCCTAAAGTAATGTTTTTAACGAATTCCCTTAAGTAGTCTAAATTTAGTTATCTACAACATCTCATTAACTTGACAGAGTAAAATTAAGTTTTCTTTAAGAATCAACCAGCATTCTTGACAAAAAAAACTATAGACACTTGAGTATTCTAAAGTACATATATTTCCAGTAGAAATAGTTGTGAACACCTACAATATTTACTAGTTATTATGTTTATTGACAAAAATAAGATTTTCCTTTAACAGTTTGGTGTAAGCAATATTTATGTGTAATGTCTTGATTTCTAGAGATATTAATTAAGCAAATTAATTGATGATAACATTTACAACGGATCATTCAACAATCTTCTTTCAGAAACAATTTCAATGAATGTTTTACTTGTATTCAGGACTCAATTCCACTCTTACATCTAGTAAAATAATTTATATATAAGCTATCATGTAATCTGTTTATAATATCAACATTGAAAAGTCTTAAAGAAACAATCTTTTTACAATGATACTTAGAATCACTGTCTGAATTAAAACCATTTAAAAATAAAGTTTTTTCATCATTTATTGAATTTTGAAATGTCATATGACATAAAACCTTCTTTTTTGTATATCTATTGTTATCCAAGTTTTACACTAAACAAAATCTACTTTTTCTTATTTTTTCACTCTTTCTATAAAATTTATTTCCAGTTTTTATAATATTTCTTTGGAGAGCCTGTATAATAGTGTTTTTTTACATCAGATGATGTACATAAAATTACTTTTTACAACATTTAACAGTTCATGCTAGACTAGATTAACAATGACTAGATATTCTTACACACAAAGCACATACAAACAATAACAAGCCATGCAGCACAAATCTTTATATCATAATAATTCATATTAGTTATACTAGAGTACCTTCTAACATTCTAAATTAAAAGTTGTTGTCTGGAACTCGGCAAATGTGGTTTTACCAAGCTAATCCCCCCTACAAGCAAACTTTTTTTCCTTTATACTTCACGTGTACTACTGGGCACAAAGATTAGTCAAACCCCCTTTTTGTTTTTCAAAGCTTAAATAAAAGTTTTTTTACCCCCTTAACTGGGAAAAAATCCCAAAAAACTTTTAACCCAGATTTGTTATTATTTTTTAGAAATGTGGGGAAAACCCATGGAGGGATGTGTATCTTGTCAATGCTGTTTGTTTAACATAAATTATGTTTGTGGCAGTGCTTATTTTTCACTAAGTGGACTCTTTGATTTAGAAGAATGAAATAAATATGAAATAAATAAGGGTGATATAAAAATCTTAAAGAAAATATATAAGAGATCTAGTATTTAAGTAAGTGGGCAGAATTAATCTTAAATCCTGAGACAAATACTTAATCACAAAGAATTATGTTTAATACAAACTTAACATTTGCTTGAACTGGAAATAATAAGACAATTAGAAGATTTTAGTTTGAAGAAGACACAAATTATATCTCTTGCTTTGTTTTCTGTCTAAAGTGTTATACATATACAACATATACCAATGACCTGGTAGGGAAAGCAGATTATAGAAGAGCTACATGCATACTTCTTTCTAGTTTATATCTACACAATAACTATACCATCTGATACCTTTAGTACTCTCCATTACAGGAGAGCCAACAGAAAGGGAAGTAATTAAGTCAGATTCTAAAAGATCTTGAGTAAAGGAGGAAGTCTCTATGTCAGATGTCAGGGCTCTAGACGTGTTAGTATCTGCAAAAACCATACACAATATATTGTTTCACTTGATATATGCCTATATCACCACGCAAGATATATTTCAAAAACTATATGATTATGAAAGCTTCATCAACTAGTGGTTCTAAGAGAACTCTGCATGCAATTAATAAATCTGCACTGTATTTATTTGATTTAAGATTTTCTATTTCTTGGCCAAACAAATTGCTATGGTTAAATTTGTTTTACTTCTACAAAAATCATGCATAATTATCACAACACTGCAATATAAAAATACCATATAAAGCTTGAAATAAGAAACTATATGTACCGGACTTGTTTCATAATTCACACAGAATATGTATTTATATATAAATGGGTTTACTTTCTATACATCTATTACATGCTGAATTTCTTAAATGGAATTTCCCAGTTTTCATTTTTTGGGAGTCCATTATCAATGTTGGGGATATCAAGATGAAAATCTAAAGATGGGTCAGCTGAGCCTGGTCAGACTTGATGAATGTTCACTATACTGATGGCAACAGGGTTCAAGGTTAAAAGAAATAATACAATTTTATTTTACAAAATGAATAATCAACAAGCATTCAGTTTGCCACTTAAATACATGAAATATTTTACGAAAGTGTCCTCATCATTCCTGTTCCCAAGAATATAAGTCTTGCTAATTCTATCATTAATCTACAGAGCAATCATAGAGGAGGTACTACAGACCTAGACTCATTAAGACATTTTTTTTCAAAATGAGAAAAGAAAACACTTTATTTAATTTTTACAGCTATGCATTAATAAAGCTATCAACTAAAGAGTTTCGGTTGAACATTACTAAAACTTGAGACATAGTAGCATTAATTATCAGATTTCAATCCTGGTCTTGTTCTATTACAACTTCAAGCAAAGTGTCTGCACTATCCCAGATGTCCGGCAGATAATGTAAAGTTTATAACCACAGTATATATCCTCATTAGGTAACAGTTTCTGGTTTTTATATACCCCTACATTTCCTTGTTACACAGAAAATGCTCAATAATGAAGACAAAAATTAGTAAAATCAGGAAAGATATCTGACACTTTAGACTCTAACAAAATACACTTTAAATGAAAAACAACAACAACAACTAACCACTACATTCTGAATTTGCTTTTGAAAGAATAAATCAGCAACATTACATCACAATAGTTTACGTTTTTTCGAACAAGCTAATAAAATGCAAATATATATTGAATTTAGACACTTAAAACTAGTTAACCTACCAGTTATATCGGACTCGGGAGCTGTAGGGGAATAATCAGATGTTCTATAATCACTATCTGTCCATGTACTCGAGTCTTTAGGTAACACATACGACGCCTCCGCTGACCTACTTCTCCTATGGCGACCTCGAGATCTCGTGCTATTTTCTGTAATAGTGGAGCAAACTATAGAAGACTTTCCCTGTGTATACATAGGCATGTTTCACAGCTCCGCTAATTGTTAATATATAACTAACTGTAACTGATACATTAGCTTTTACACTTTTTTAAGGTGCTAAAACTTCACTTTATCTTAGTTTTGTTGACAAAAGACTTAAATAACAAGATGTAATTTCAGATATTTGGGATTTAATGTCACTAACATTATCCAGTCATGTTGTGATTGTAATTATACAATGTCAGACATACACTTGGATTGTCTTAAATGGTGTTTTACAATAAAACCCTCCTCTGATATATAATTACTCTTTAGGCATGAACCCTTGTGCCAAACCTATGAAGATAATAAAGAAACAGGCAGAAAATATCTAACACATTGTTTCAGTATTAATAAGCAATTATCATAGTATTGCAAGAACTCCATAAGTCCCCTACCGGTTAGAACTCCATCAACATTCTGAAGGGCCATTGGCCATTCACTAATGTTTCAATTTTTTTCTATTTTAAGTAAATTTGTTGGAAAAGTTCTTTAAAAGTGATCACAGGAAAAACAGTTTTTATGAACAGACAGACTGACGGACTGAAGGACACTCTAAAGTTAATATTTGAAACATCCCTGTTACCAAAATATAACATTTTTAAAAGCAAAATTCTTAAAGAGGAGATAACTCTTAAATTAAAGATGCAATTTCATAAAAAAATGTTCAGCTCTTTTTGACTAATCACAAATATTGTTATATTTGCCATGTTTTAAGCGTATTTGTTGCCAAGGCAACCAATATTTTTTCAAAATAGGAAGAAAAGATAAGACATGCATAATCTCCAGACTGCCATCTACCCATATGTCAGTTTTCATAAAAATATTTCCAGTACTTTTTGAGTTAGCACTGGATTCAGTTTATGTGTAACATTTGCAATATTTTCAGTCTATGTGTTGCCATAGCAACCAGAATTTTGAACAAAGGAAGAAACGAAAAAGACGTGCATAATCTCCAGACTACCATCTACCCATATTACAAGTTTCATAAAAATATTTCTATTACTTTTTGCGTTAACACTGGATCCAGTTTATGTGTAAAATTTGCCATATTTTCAGTCTATTTGTTGCCATAGCAACCAGAATTTTCAACATAGGAAGAAAAGAAAAAGACGTGCATAATCTCCAAACTGTCATCTACCCATATTTCAAGTTTCATAAAAATATTTCCAGTACCTTTTGCATTATCACTGGATCCGTTTATTTGTAAAATTTGCCATATTTTCAGCCTATTTGTTGCCACAGCAACCAGACTTTTCAACATAGAAAGAAAAGAAAAAGACGTGCATAATCTCCATAGTGCCATCTATCCATATATCAAGTTTCATAAAAATATTTTCAGTACTTTTCAAGTTATCGCGGGATCCAGTTTTGTGGACGGACGGACTGACAGACAGTCGGACAGACAGACGGACAGAGGGTTATCCTAAAGTCCCCTCCGGTAAACCGGTAGGGAACTAATAATTATATAAATGTACCTTTTAGTTTAGGGGAGTAGAGTGCATATGTACCAGGCTGTGACCTTGACCTGTTGTGTATTCTATCATCAACCTCAGCATCACTATAGTAACTGATGTCTGATGGTGCTGGTGGTACTCTAAAATGATAAGAATTATTAAACTGATAACAGTGTTTATAATACATACTCCAGTCTAAGTATTATTTTGAAGTGTTGAACTTACAAAAAAGTAAAAAATAAAAATAGTCTTAAAGTTTGATCAACATAAACAGTTTCTACTTTCTATCAAAATTTATAAATAAAAAAACTTTGAATCTTTAAACTAATAATTATTTAAAAAGGACGCAATTTACTTGCTGTGTCTTTGAAATGTATGCATAATTATTATTAAGAGAATCGACCTGTAATGTGTAAATGCCTTCTTCATCTCAACTGGAAATATGTCAGCAGTCTTTAGTTTAGGACGAGATTTGTTGGCAAGTTTGATATCTCGACCTCTTATGTCTCTATGTCTCGTAGATGGTGCTGTACTGCCTCGCTGACTCTCCCTATCTTTCATTTTGTCGTGCCCACGTTTATCGTGCCATTGGTTTGTGTCATGTCTGTCTGTGATCATGTTTCTCATCTCATTTAACAATAGCTTTAATTCTGATCCAATTTCTTTGTAGTTCTCACCAGACTTCTACAGAATATCATAAATGTTCTACTAAGATTTGTATGGCTTATTTGATTTTCAGTTAATTTTGGTATTTATAATTCTATGTCCACTATCAAATATACATACAGCTTCATAATGATTTGAAATACCTACTAAAGTCATAAAAAATTCTGATTTACTTCAAAGTGGAAAAAGCAAGGAAAATTCAAACAATTCTTTTTTCCTAGTTGTATATCAAATCATGTCAACAATGTCAATATCATAATAATTAAATAGATTTTCCAGTTTCAATTATTGAGAAAAACATAAGGTTCCTTTCTGTGCATAAGCTGGAAGCTTACAAGTACCATAATGATAGTTTAACCACTAAGTGAGTTTAACAGAATGCTACCTGAGCTTGAAGTCTATCTTTCTGTGCCATTTGATATGGTCTCATGTTTGAATTCCCTTGTGGTTGAACTGTACCAGAACGAGGCTGACTGCTTGAATGACTTTCATACTTTGAATATCCTTGTGATTGGACTGGTTCTGTATCATGAGGTTGCCCTTGACTGGTCCTCTGTTTGGCCTCCACCTTGTCTACATGATGACTGGCAGCTTTCTGTACAGCTTCCTGTTTCAAACATTTAATATATTCAATATATCCTTGAAGAACTTGTTCTAGTTCAAACACCTTTACCTTTACAGGTTTTACTTTCTTGAAAGTGATACAAAATATACTGTTTCTTTATACTAGTTTCTTATGATGCATTTAATAATTTCAGACAAGGTATGCAGACAAGGCATTGAACTATGTAAATTTTAAAAGAAAAAAAACACAAAACCATTCAAAAACTTTTTGTAGTTCTCTATAGTCAAATCTGTTGAAATTTGTCTAAATTTTATCAGAACTCATTACAAGGTTTCTAAATTTGGCAATATAACATTTATGGTTTCTATACAGAAAATCAATTTTAAGAAATGTCATAATAACACATTAGTGATGCATTAAGGACTTTCCTTAATTTTCTGTTTAAATAGAAACTATAATTTTCACAGCATGAATTATACCTTAACTTCCAATTTATGAGCTAGCTTCATTCGTGTCATTTCCTGCTCAAACATTTCCACCTGAGCTTGTGTTGTGGCATTCCTTAATGCGGCCTGGAAATGATAAACAATTCTGTTATTGATTTTGTTATTTATTTTATCACCATTTTAACTTAAAGAGGATGATTAACTACAAAACAAATTGATTCTCCATATATACCGAAGCATAATTTATCTGAAATAATGCTGAATGACATGTGCACACAATGAGATTTGTATGAGCAATTAAGATGAAATTTTATGTACTATTTGAAGAATAATGAAGTTGTTCAGACCTTAGTTAATTAAAATGTAAAAACAAAATAACTTATTTTTCAAATTGTTACAATAAGCAATTTTTTATCATGCACTTATTAAGTCACTTTCATAAGATAAAACAGTAAGCTAAAACTTTTTGAAAACAAATCAAAGCTGGGTATTATTTAAATGAAAACGTTGTCTTAAATACTTTAAAGTTTAATGTCACATCATACATTCTCAAACAAACAACTGTAGTATCAGCATCATAAGATAAAACAGTTATCTAAAAGTTTTTGAAAACAAATCAAAGGTGAGTATACAAGACACAGTTAAACTACACTTATTAGTAATTTTACTAACTAAATATTAATATCAAAACTGACAAGTAATTAATTTGAAAACATTAAGTAAATTAATTTTGTCACTCTAAGCCGGCAACACAAAAAGATATTCATTTAAAATTCTCTAAAAGTGTTTTCATAAAAAACATGTTATATTTCTCATTATAAGATTTATCAAAAGGTTTATCAAAATCTCTGATCTATCAACATCATTTAGTTAAATTACAATTTATCCATTAAGCAAACATCAATAAAGAAATCATAAAGATAAAATTTGCCTTAATGATAGTATTAACTAAAAAAATTATAAATGTTACAAAACAACAATTTTTCACCAAAATTAGGTAAAAGACCACATGTTAACATGGAAAAACTAGATTTTGGGTGATTCCAAAGTTTTTCAACATTTTTGTTAACCCTATACCTCATATATACGCGAAACAACGCACTTTCGACCCCCCCCCCTTTTTTTAGGCCTGAAATAGTGAAAAAATGTCCTATTTGGGCCCAAAACACATGTTTTCGTTTGAGAAATGTTGCTAAAAAAAGTGAGCACTTTTTTTCGGCGCCGTCCCCCATCCAAAAGATACATCAGGGGGTTGCCAGAAGGGGGATATGCCCCCTTCTGTTTGGGAGATTTGAAGGGGGGCGAAGTCCCCCTCATCGCCAAGAAAATTTTGGACTTGTGAGAGGCTTAAAATGACCCCATGTCGATCATAAGTTAACGTGTAACCAACGCTGAAAAGCCTTTGACTCTATTTCAATCCCTTGAGAAGTTGCAGCACTTTGAAATCAATTTTGATGGAAAAATCGATGCAAAATAGTGATTTTTGGCAATTTTGAAATGTCCCCTCGTTGCCATGGTAACAGGAAATTTACGACTGAGCATTTCATTCAATAAGCCCTGTTATCATTTAATATGGAGAACGAAAAAAAAAAACAATAAATTATCCGCTAAACATGACATCTGTTTAAATCAAAATATTTAATACAATATAAAAAGTGGAAATCCCATACATTTTCTGAGATATTCTTTTTTTCTTTCACAAAACAAAATGAATTTAATATGTCTATAAAACAGTTATATTATTTTACCAATTTGTTTAACATTAAGATAACATACAAAGTCTAGATTATAACAAAAAATGACTTCTGAAACAGAAATCAATGAACAATTGCATATTTTCCTTGTAAATATGAGAAAACCTAAAGTCTGCTGCTTTTGAAAACAGTTTTTAAATAGTCTATCATTTTTATAGCAGAAACTAGTACTCAGACATTATCACAAAGGACATAAAATCTACAACTCATAATGATATAAACATTGATTCAAAATAAAATAGCGATGTCTAAATTAAAAAATTTTCATTAGTACTACATTTATCTAAATATCTCAACTTAATTTAATTTGTTTAAATCAGACAGAACATCATCTCATTAACATCAGTATGCCGTTATTCCCTGCAGAAATCTGTAAAAGGAATGCATAAGTGTTTCATTTCCTATACTTCAGCTATAATTAATATATAAACAGATCTTCTCTGACATTACCACATCGTGTACATGTTTTTATTTCTTAACATGCAACATATTTGTAGACATTATTTTGTAAACTTTTACCAATATATATAATATCTGTCATATGTTGCAGTTGAGAACAGAATATTTGTCCCGTTGATACCCGCCAATATGACGATACTTGCTAATTTGGCATCCATAGGTGGGTACCTGAAAGACAAATATCCCAATCACAACAGCGAACTCGATGTCGGATGTCAATTTTGCTTTCCTGTATATTTCACCATATTCTGTGAGATACTGCTAAAATCTTATAGTATGTAATGTATTGATGCACTAAAAATCATGACAGCAACCACAGTAATGGGTTGGTGATGATGATGATGACAATGGTGGTGCTACTGTTTTACTGAATTCGAGTAAGGTGGATCTGCCGCCATTACGTTGATATTGGTACATGTATATACATGTGCCTGATTGAATGTACAAAGAAGTAGGTTTATTATTGTTGATAGCGGCAATGCTACAATATTTAACTGTTGAAATGACGGTAAATCACTTTCAACTACAAATTATGAACAAAAATATATAATTTAATACATGTATATTAATAGTGAAACATAAACACAAACATTCGTAGCAATGACATAAATGCAAGTTTGTCAGTATTCATCAGTAAAGCACATTTTTATAATAAACACTCATGACATATCATAACAATAAAAGCACAATAACACTTTTATTTCAACAAAAATTTATCTAATATTTGAAGTGAATTGATCATCGGACGAAAAACGAAAGTAGCAACTATCGTGAACCGGAAGCACATATTAATGTATGCAATATGACGGAACATTAATTATACAAATGTCATTTACGTTGATAACACACATCAAATACATACAAAATACAAATATCTTTATTTCTCTCAGGTCAAGACATTGACAACATGAGGTAAATAAATATTAACAAAGTTTCGAGGCTCAATAGAATGCATACAAAAAATATAAGCATATATAATACATGTAAAGGGAGAGTACCTTGGGTACTTTTAACATACAAAGCATGTGCATGTAATGAATTTACACTTGTTATATGCATTTAATTTTCATTATATAAATTTTTCAACTATATCCCTAATAAACATACATATTTTTTTATATTCAAAATTACTATGGTTGTTTATATTCATAAGTTTATCAAAAGAATAAATGTTTCGTCTAATGTAATAATTGGGTCCTAAGTATTTTTTTCTTTGACGATCAAAATATTTACATTCTAGAAGGTAGTGAAATTCATCTCCAACTGAGGAATTACATAATGTACATTTTCTCATATTAAGTTCTATCCCATGCCAAGATCCAGTTTCTACTGGTAATCTATGGTTTCTTGTTCTAAATTTAATCAGATATCTAAGTAAATTAGGATGTGTATTTGTGATATACTTTTCAAATTCGAATTTGTGTTTAAATAACTTGTAATTTTTACACTTTCCAGAAGTTTCTAAGTTTGAATCCAGCTGTTAAGAAACAGGTCTATTAGCTTTTGTTTAACTGTTGCGGTCAACCACTTTTGATTTGGAAAAAGATGTGTGTCCCAAATATTGTTCATGCCGCATTTGACGAGTATATCTCTAATACACGTTATCCACATAAAATTATTGCTTTGCTGTGTATTTAAAAAATTACTACTATAAAGAGCAAAATAATACATTGTTTGCGTTAGTTTAAACGTCTTTACGACAACTATATCTGCCCAAAAAGAAACTAATCTTGATTCTATATCTACTGAGAGCGGTGTTACACCTGTTTCACCATACACTATTGTATTTGAGGTAGAGGATTTTAATCCTAAAATATATTTTAAAAACTTAAGTTGAACTCTTTCTATCATGTCAATGTTTCCATAACCCCAAATTTCACATCCATAGAGCAAAATTGGTTTAACAGTTTTATTGAACAAATCTATTTGGATGTCAATTTGGTAAGTATAGTGATTTAGCCTTTTTTATTAAATTATACATTGCTATTGTTCCTTGTTTGGCTATATGCTTTTTTGCATTTAAAAAAGATCCACTCCTACTAAAGATAATTCCAAGATATTTATATTCATTAACAATTTCGATATTTTCATTATTATAAGTAAAATTGTGTTGAACTTGTCTACCTCTTGCGAAAACCATAACTTTTGTTTTTTTGAAGTATTAAGAACCAATTTCCATTTATCACAATACGCTGCATAAACATTTAGAGCGTCTTGTAGATCTTTAGCAGATTCTGACAAAATAACAGTGTCATCTGCATACAATAAAATAAAAAGTTTTAAAAAGTACATAACATTTCCATCAAAATCATGATTATAGCAATTGACGCCTTCGACTAGACCACTGTTGGAAAAATAAGCATGTAAATCATTTAGAAATAATGAAAATAAAAGAGGCGATAAATTTTCACCTTGTCTTACACCGGCAGTGCATGAAAAATATATTGATTTGTTCCCATTGGCCCTAACACAAGATTTTGCATTTTCATATATATTTTTAACAACATTCAAAAATTTACCATTTATATTAACAGCATATAGTTTACACCAAAGTCCTGAACGCCACACACTATCAAACGCACTTTTAAGATCAACAAAGGCACAAAACAGTTTCTTTTTACTTTTTTTTAATAAATCAATCAAAGTATTTAGTACAAACATATTATCAAGTGTAGAAAATCCTTTTCGGAATCCAGCTTGGTATTCGTTAATCAAATTATAATTTTCAGTATATTTTTGCAGACGCATATTTAAAATTGCAGTGAAAAGTTTCCCCATACAACTTAACAATGTTATTGGTCTATAATTTGACGGGTCACTAACATCCCCTTTATTTTTATATATTGGGTTAATAATTCCAACTGTCCAATCATTTGGTACAATACCAGAATTGAAAACAACATTAAATAATTTAACATATACAGTTTTCATACTTGAAAAAGAATTTTTTATGTGTTCATTTATTACTTTATCAACACCACATGATTTGTTATTTTTCAGCGTTTTTACCGCTTTTTCAATTTCGTCACTCGTAATTGGCATATTAATATCAATATTTTCTTCATCGAACAAGTCTGTATCAACATTAATATCAGGGGCATTTTCAATGTTTTGACTTGAATTCAAATTTTTAAAATACGTATATAAGTCATTCAAATCAGCATGAATTTTACTATTTTTCTTTCCGTTAAGAATTGACCAGTATTGTTTCGGCTTTGTTTTATCTAAATTTCTTAATTTTGCTATGTTATTTCTCTTAAACTTTATAAAATTTTTATTCATCGTTTTCTTATACACTTTGCTTTTAACACGTAATTCATTTTTGTTTATTTCAGTATTTCTTAATTTATACATATATTTCGCTCTATGAAAATCACGGCGAGCTTTTTTACACTCTAAATTAAACCAACTAGCAGGTCTAGTTTCAGTATGTTCGTTAATTCTTGTCTGACATACTCCAAAACTCTGTAACGAGCTATCTTCAAATATCTTAGCAATATTTCTAACAATAACATCTAAACTATCAGGGTTAACAACATTGCTATTTTCTAATACAGTCAAGTCATCTATAACTTTGTTAACATGTGATATATCACATCAATACATAGGCTGTTTTTAATAACACCTGTCAGACTGGCACGTGTCTTAATTTTGTTATCTAACTGTGAAAACCAATTAAGTCCTGAAACCGATTAAAGCCACTTTTACGACGTGTTGATAATACATGATGACCGGCAATTAAAATTTCTATGGATCGTGTAAATCACAAAAGACAACATCTCACCTTGATGTTGCCGACCTTTGATCAGTCGGCTGTTTTCACAATTCGACTAATTGAGATGAAAATATGTTGGACTTTAATTGACGGGACCAAATTTTCTTTTCGACTAAACAGGAGTCTCGGTAAGTCAAAATTTGACCTAAGCGGAGTTAGAATACAAAGATAAAGAAGGAAATTTGACGGGACTTTAGAAATCCTTCGACTTACGCGGAATTTTGAGTAAAGCGATTTTGACTTATTGAGAGTCAACTGAATTTCCAACTGTTAATTTATTTCCTAATTTTTTTTCATTTCATTATCAAAAAGCATGAAAAGTGTTTAGTATAGACTTGTATCATAGTTTGGGGACCTTTCTGTTCAAAATGTGACGAGGTTAAATCGTATACATATACATGCACAGTGCGTTAACTGGAGTGCAGTTATTAGTTACCCTCACTCCAAAGCATGCTCATTGATTGTGCATTTTGTCCGGGGTTTACATATTGTGACGACGGAGAAAGGTATAGCGATGGAATATCATATTCAGATGCTCGTTCATTAGTTACTTTTTTGTGGGGTTTCATTATTGTGGTATCAGGGAACTTGTTTTATGTTTGACTATGATACAAAAAAGAAAGAACATCAAAACACTCGGCAATTTGATATATACTCGGGGGCTAAGCCCCCTCGTACAAGTCAGATAGCCGAGTGTTTCGGTGCTCTTTCTATTACTAGTAAGACATACATGGATGTCGTAAATGGCCTGACTCTATAAAGCATTGTAATTACATCTAACTCTTAAAGTGATTAAAGCAAAGTTGTAACTTTTCAGTCTTTTAATTGCTATAATCTTTACAGAGAGAGAGAAAAGGGAAAATAACTATCTAGATTTCTAAGTGAAAGCTATTTGAAATTTAAAGTGTTATGATAATGGAAAACATGCAGTCAGTAATGGAGATAAATTGAAACTATAAGTTTCATTACTGTCACAGATTCTTGACAGTTCTATGGTTGCAATAGTGATAACTTAATAGAAACACTCTTTGGTAAAATTGATAATAAAAAAAAAATGACTGTCATAAACTTCTCAGACAAATAGAACATTTATTAAAAGAGATTGAAATCCATGAAATTTTATAGCAATTTCTAAGACATTAATATTTATGCCTCCAGAAAAGCAGATGATTACACAAGTGTCAGAATAAATTTATTTGAAACTACAATACAACTTCAACTGCACATTGCATCATGATGGTTAAAAAAATATTTCTATTATTTTCAATAAATACCAAACCATTCATGACCATTATTCTTTGTATTGCAGTTATTGATTTACAAAATGTAAAATTTAAAACTCTAAACATAGAAAATTTGTTATTATTTTCCTTTAAGAAAATGCTATAATTCTTTTCTTTTTCAATCAAAATTCAGAAAATTGGCTGAACAACTGCCAGTCTAAGCTTGACATTTAAGGCACATTATGCCTTAGAAACAAAATTAATGTTTTCCCTTCTTTAGAAAGCATTAAAGGGTTTTATAAGGTAAAAATACTAAGTAGCACTGAATTTGCAATTACTTGTCATAAAAGTCGCAAAATATAAACAATTTAGAATTTTGACTTCCATACATCACTTTAAC